TGCTCTAAGTTGTTCTGGGAGCTGAACTGACCCCACTACTAGTAGGGAGAGGGGCATAACATTTGCAGGGTTACCTCCCTTCCCACCCTCATCAGCTATACCAACTGCGGCTGATGATTCAGCCCTCTGACTATGGGCGTGTGGTGGTTTTTGTTTGTTTTGTCATTTATGTCAGTCTGTGGAATCTTAAGAGGATGTCACTAACCTTAAATTCAAAAGGCCAAGACCTTCCTCACTATGGAAAGCCCAAGAAAACAAACGTTGTGCAGGGGTTCTCCATATGGTTTTGGAGTACAGAATCCTCCCCACCCCCTTCATGTTTTTGCACCACAACTGTGGGCCCTCCTGTGGGGGATGGGAGGGATTTCCACACTGGATCCACAGTCGCAGATCCATCAGACTTGCCTATGGCTACACCCTGGCTCAGAACAACTCATTGTGGCACCATGGGTCGAGCCATCACAAAGCACAACTATAAATGAATATCCACCCCACCCCTTCCCCCACCATGCTGACTCCCTACTCTGTAACAGAACACTAGTCCCTCTCCTTTTCTATCCCTACATGCTGGTGGAGTTGGGAGAAGGATTTGGCCCCTATTTATTAAAATCCTTTTTTACATGGCTTTGCTAGCGGAAACCCCTTAGAGACTATGAGCTGGATTCTGATTCATGTGCACAGAATGGCAACAATATCATGCTCACGCACTGCAATGGAATGTGTGTGTGTGTACACTTTCCTTTCCACTCCGTAAAGGAAGCACATTTGATAGATTGGAACTAACCCTGTGGCTGTTCACTGACTTCAGTGAAAGCTGTGCATCTGCATCTGAGGCACTTAATGACTATGGCAAAGTTAAAATGTGATACAAGCTTTAGCTCACGAAAGCTTATGCTCAAATAAATTGGTTAGTCTCTAAGGTGCCACAAGTACTCCTTTTCTTTAAGTGAAACCCAGTTACTTAATTTTTCTTCAACAACAACCAGGCACTACCAGAGATTATAAAAAATCATCAAAACATCTTAAGTATGTTTTTTTTCCTTATATTTACGACAAACTTGATAAATGAGCTGATGATTTTCTTCTTAACCTTATTTATTATTTATATTAAGGTAGCACTACTTATATTAAGGCCCTGATTGGAATCTAAGTCCCACTATGCTGGACACTGTACAAACACAGGCCCTAATCCTGCAAAGTCAGTCCATAATTGGGGGAGGCATGGATCAGCATTCACGTCACACTCCCCGGCAGTACCAAGCCCAGGCTGGAAAAGCTAATGATCCAAACAGCGACATATAAAGAATGGGTACAGAGAGACAATCAGAAATATACATTTGCTATATTTCAAAGGTCAGTAACTAAATATCAAAACACCTCAACTGCCCCTCAGTCTAGGTATTTAAATGTTGACAGATTCCTTGTAAGCATCATAACAGAAGTCTTCAGAAGGATTCAGGTGAGGAGAAAGTAATAACCCTAAGGATCATTTGAGAGTGGGTATTTCATGTATAAGGAGAGACAGGGAAGAATGCATGAAGACATATTTTGGGGGAACAGTTAGGACAAAAAGCTTGAACTTGGTACAATGAAGGAGGAGGAGCAGGTGGAGGGATTCAAAGAGGTGAGTGAAATGGATAGCTTCAGGTAAGGAATGCTAATGTTAACCTTTTTGTTTAGAATAGAGAAGAAATGTGTGTACCAGCAAGGTCAGAGTGAAAGAGGTGTCAGTAACAAAGACAGGAGATTGTGACAGCCTGGTAAGAGGTTTAGCTGTCTGGAGAGAAAGAAAAGTGCAGCTTTTAGAAATGTTATGGAAGAAGATGTTGCAAGTTTTGGAGGCAGCCTGGCCATGCAGCATGAGACAGAGAGGAGTCGATGGGAAGAATGGTGGTATTGTCAACAGTGACAGAGAATTGGGGAAGTAGAAAGAGCTTGGGAGAGATCAGGGGAGGTTCCATTTTAGTCAAGTTCAAGGGAGGGAAGCAACAAACAAAACATCATAATGATTTAGATCTGCTGTGGAATTTAGCTCATCTATGGCAAATGAAATGTGATGCTGGCAAGAATAAACAACACACTGGGCTCAATAACAATAAACAATTGTGGAAAATGAATGGAATTTCAACAGAAGTTGGAAATGGAATTCTTCAAAAGCTCGAAACAAAGCATTGAGGAAAGCCCTATAAAGTTTATCCTCAACAGATGAAACACAGTAAAATAAACTGAAAGCAAGTACAATGATATCATGCAAGTCTGATAAGATACCTCTTAGCATACTGAGCATATATACCCAATTATAAAATGATTTACATACACGCTTAACTTAATGCATGTGAATACCCCCAATGACTTCAACAAGGCTACTCAGAGGATAAAGTTAAACATATGCCTAAATATTTGCAGGACTGGTGCCTAAGAGCCCAATCTTGCTCCCTCTGCTGTCAACTGGAGTTTTGCCTTTGACTTTAGTATGAACAGCATAAGGCCCTGCAGTATATTATTTTTAAAAAATGAAGTTGCAACTACTACTATCTGTCTAGCTACCCTATGTTTTTATGTAGCAGTTATCACAATAGTATCTAAGCGCTTGGGAAAAGATATAAAAGGGGTTATACAAACATTAACATGAATAAGGCCAGTGTTCTGGTACCACCTACCATGTGTTTAATTTTATGCCCAGGGGTAAAGTTAAGCGTGTGTGTGTTTGCAGGATCAGTTCCTAAATTAGGAAAACAAGCTAAAAATTTCCTTTCTCTAGCCTCAGCAACATATAATAATAATAATAACTTAAATATCACCTGAATTATATTTTAATGAAGCACACAAGATAGGACAAGAAAGTCAAACAGGTGTAATTTAGAATTCTGAACTAAGACTCTAAGTAGTTCACGTTTAACAGCAGATAGTGAGTGTCATAGCAGGAATGAGCCCAAACAGAGCCAGTCATAGATCTCCCTGTATATTGTGCTTAATTTTTATATTTTTAGCTTTGAAATTCCCACACTGGCGTATGACTCTTTCAGCCTGCATTGCCAGGTAAACTGGATTGAGCCTCAGAGCTTTGTCAGCAAAAAGTTGCATGTACATAGATATAGGCTCTGATGATTATTATAACACGTTATGCTGATATGCCCATTAAGGTTCTGGTATATAAATGAGCAGAGAATGTTTTAACCGCCGTCTATACTAGGAAATGTTACCAAAATATTGTCAATGGTGCTACAAATGGTTCAGTTGCACATATGCTAGTGTCAGCCCTCGTATAGGCAAGGATCCGGTGGCTTCTGGCATTTTTACTACCGCATCAATTAAACCTGCAGCAGGTAACATTTGTGCAGCTGAACAAGTGGCTCCACTGTTTCTTTGGTAAAATTCTCATGGCCTAAAATGGTCTCCAGAAATTTTATGCTGCAAGTTTGATACTATTATAAATGTGTGACTCTGGAAACCACCGGAGCACGACTTAGGCCCTAGTTCAGCAAAGTACTTACGCCCATTTGTAAAGCACAAGCCTTGTTGACACAAAAAAGGTACTATATTATACTGATACAATTAAATGGTACAGACCGCCTAGCATGCACGTCATTATACTGGTATAAAACTGCTTACAACTGTATAGCTTAATCCCGTATGGGAACAGGAATAAGCTATACCATTTTAACCATTTTTATACTGGATAACTAAGGGTTGTAGTGGCATAATTATATTAATGAACAATCACACCACTAACCAAAGTGGTATTATGGGAACAAAAAACTGTATGTAGCTCAGGCCTTAAGTCCTAATGAACTGGCTGACCTTGAGGAAGCTGGTTCCCTTTTCTTCTGCAGCTGCTAATCAGAGGGTTCCTGATTTTATGAAGGTTTGGGTGGCTTTGGAGACATTAATAAAATCAGAGTTCCACTATATTACAAAACATTTTAAAAATATTTGAATGTTTCCCTGTGAATTCATTAACTAAACCATTAACTTCTGCATATGTGCCATGGCTGAAAGTTTGAAAATCCATTCAATATACCTTCAGTAGGACTGCTAAATTATCCTTTAAACTTAATACAGAATAATAAAATCATTGCTTCCACCTGAACTGGATCCCCACTGATATAAAAGAAAGGGGGAGGCTAGCAGGGCATTTTCCTCTGGACCCCATTTCTCTCTCAGTTGCTATCATCTTGACTTTGTTGATTTTCAGGGCATGCTACAAAGACCACCTTTTATCCCTTACTGCAGTAGGTGACGGGAAGGGCTGCCACACTGTAGGAATCTGGGAGGAGACTAATTATTTTTGTTGTGTTTATGGTGTTCCTGGGTTTTCTGATTTGATCTTGGGGTAACTGATGGGTTTACTTATGTGTAAATTTCTAAATGATTGTCAAGGGGTCCAGAGTGTTGGATTGGTGCTTTTTTATTGCACAGAAATAAAAAACTAAATACACAAAAGGAACAATGTAGCTGACTATACATAAAGTGCAGATAAATACACAACATAAAACAAACTGTAAATAGAAGAAAATATTTCTTCTGTAATCTTTTTATTATAATAATCATAGGTGTTACTTGTAACAGCAACAGGTAAAAGAAATCAGGTGAGTATGACACTTACAACTTAAGTGTCCCTTTAACAGTCCTCACAGAAGGACCTTTAACTCCCGCTGTGAGAGGTTTATTGGAGTTTCCATTTATTTGCTCCCCTTTTTTGTTCCCTATATTTAAAGGGAAGAATTGAGCTCTCTGCACAGTTTGCTCACAAATGCACAGGCAATGGCTTTGCTGTACAGAACCGACACAAGCCGCGCCTGTGCTTGCCGCCCTACAGGATGCGTCATTATTTGAGCTTGTTTCCTGTTCAGCGTTTTTTGTTTTTAAGTGCCTTGGTACAAGGAAGCCTGGGGAAGAGCAGAGGGCGAAGAGGGGCAGCTGGGCGGGGGTTCAGGGGCGTCGGGGAGGGAAGACAGACAGTATAACGCCACCAAGGCTGAGGGCACACAGGGCCACATGCGTACAGCGGACAACGGGGGGATTCCGGGCTCTCCTCGCGCCTCCCAGTGGGGCGGGGAAGCTGCCCGGACCTCCCCCGCAGCTCCGAGGTGTCCGGCCCCGCCTCCCTTTCCCCACAGCAAGAGCCCGGCTCCGCGGGGCGGGAGTGGTGGTGCTCAGACCCGCCTGGCTCCGGGGACTTGGGCTGCGGCTGGAGGGGCCGGCTCCGTGCGTGCCCGTGCGCAGGGAGGCTCCCGGGCCATGCCGGCCGCGCTCAGCGCCCTCTGGCTGCCGCTGGCCGCCGCCTTCCTCGCCGCGCTGCTGCTGGAGCTGCTGCAGGCCCCACGCGGGGGGCCCCGACCCGGCCTCTTCCAGGACCTGCTCCGCTACGGGAAGACCAAGAGCGGCTGCGGGCAGCGCCCAGCCTGGCTGCGGCTTCTGGATGTGCCCAAGAGGTGAAGGGAGGTTACCTCAGTCCGGCCGGGGGGGCGCCGGGTCTGCTAGCCCGTCCCCAGCACAGGGACAGCCGCCTGCCCGAGCCCGCCTGCCCTAGCAGGGGCTCTGTCCCCTTCCGCCTCGGGCGGCGTGGCTCGGCTGGGGAGCCCCACGCGTGCCCTGCAGCCCTTAGCCCTGGGAGTGGGGTGCGCTTGTGCAACAAACCCCCCTTCTTCAGCCGTGTAAAGGGCTGCAGGCGTGGGGCCTTGGAAAGTCGTGAGATTGGTTTGAAAATCTTAAGGGTTTTTTATATTTGTGTTGCTTTGATTAATGTTGAGTTATGTTGGGTTTTTTTGTGGCTATCTAGTGGCTTCTGGGCTTTGAGATACGCTCCTAACATTTTCCAGCTTTTCTCTGTAATCATGAGAGCTGGAAACATAGGTGGTGGTGGTGATGGTTGTTTTAAGGAAAACTGAAGTTACCATGTAATCCCATGACTCCAGAAGCTGGAGCTTTAAAAACCTACTAGATATTGTGAGTCACCCGTCAAAATCTGGAGAGCTAGCATCATTGATTTTAAGGTCTTAGAATGAAAGATACTAAGATGGCAGGTATAGAGGAGACTGAACTGTTTGTTCAGTGCAAAAGCATATAATGGGCATCAGCAGGGCAAGCTGCCCTACCAGTGTGTCCTGACGTCTATCTGGAGAGGTGTATAGCCTTTTAGGGTTTGTTCTTGTATCCACAGTTCCCCTTAGTTACAGCACCATTAGACTATGGATGCTGTAATGTTGCCAAGGCTCAGCTGTTTTCATCACAAGGTATGTCTGCACTGCAGTAAAACACCCATGGCTGGTCTGGGTCAGCTGACATGGGCTCACAGGGCTTGGGCTGCAAGGCTATAGCACTGCAATGTAAACATTCAGGCTCTGAGACTGCACAATGGGTGAGGGTCCCAAAGCCTGGGCTTATGTCTGAATGTCTACGCTGCAATTTTATAGCCGCACAGTCCAAAGCCTGCTAGTCCGAGTCAGCTGACACGAGCTAGAAGCGGAGGTTTTATTGCAGTGTAGATATACCCATATTGTCTAATTCTGGATGACATGATAGAATCATAGAACACTAGCGTTGGAAGAGACCTCAGGAGGTCATCCAGTCCAACCCCCTGCTCAAAGCAGGACCAATGCCAACTAAATCATCCCAGCCAGATTCCACCACCTCCCTAGGTAACCCATTCCAGTGCTTCACCACCGTTCTAGTGAAATAGTGTTTCCTAATATCCAACCTAGACCTCCCCCACTGCAACTTGAAACCATTACTCCTTGTTCTGTCATCTGCCACAACTGAGAACAGCTGAGCTCCATCCTTTTTAGAAACCCCCTTCAGGTAGTTGAAGGCTGCTATCAAATCCCCACTCATTCTTCTCCATACTCCCTCGGCCTCTCCTCATAAGTCATGTGCCCCAGCCCCCTAATCATTTTCGTTGCTCTCTGCTGGACTCTCTCCAATTTGTCCACATCCTTTCTGTAATGTCCACATCCTTTCTGTGTTGAGGGGCCCAAAACTGGACACAATATTCCATATATGGCATCACCAGTGCTGAATAGAGGGGAATAATCACTTCCGTCTATCTGCTGGTAATGCTCCTACTAATGCAGCCCAATATGCCATTAGCCTTCTTAGCAAAAAGGGCACACTGCTGACTCATATCCAGCTTCTCATCCACTATAATCCCCAGGTCCTTTTCTGAAGAACTGTCGCTTAGCCAGTCGGTCCCCAGCCTGTAGCAGTGCATCGGATTCTTCCGTCCTAAGTGCAGAACTCTGCACATGACCTTGTTGAACCTTGTCAGATTTCTTTTGGCCCAATCATCCAATTTGTCTAGGTCACTCTGGACTCTATCCCTATCGTCAAGCATATCCACCTTTCCCTCCATCTTAGTGTCATCTGTGAACTTGCTGAGGGTGCAATCCATCCTAACATCCAGATCATTAATGAAGATGTTGAACAAAACCGGCCCCAAGACCGACCCCTGGGGCACTCCGCTTGATACCAGCTGCCAACTATATGACAAGCCGTTGATCACTACTCGTTGAGCTGACAATCTAGCCAGCTTTCTATCCATCTTCTAGTCCATTCATCCAGTCCATACTTTTTTACCTTGCTGGCAAGAATACTGTGGGAGACTGTATCAAAAACTTCGCTAAAGTCAGGATATATCATGTGCACTGCTTTCCCCGTATCCACAGAGCCAGTTATCTCATCATAGCAGGCAATCAGGTTGGTAAGGCATGACTTGCCTTTGGTGAATCCATGTTGACTGTTCCTGATCACCTTCCTCTCCTCCAAGTGCTTCAAAATGGTTTCCTTGAGGACCTGCTCCATGATTTTTCTAGGGATTGAGGTGAGGCTGTAGTTCCCTGGGTTCTTCCTCTTCCGTTTTTTAAAAATGGGCACTATATTTGCCTTTTTCCAATCATCTGGGACCTCTCCCGATAATGGCCAGTGGCTCTGCAGTCAAATCAGCCAACTCTCTCAGCACCCTCAAATGCGTTAGATCCGGACCCATGGACTTGTGCATGTCCAGTTTTTCTAAATAGTCCTTAACCTGTTCTTTCACCACTGAGGGCTGCTTTCCTCCTCCCCATACTGTGCTGCCCAGGACAGCAGTATGGGAGCTGACCTTGTCTGAAGACCGAGGCAAAAAAACCATTGAGTACTTCAGCTTTTTCCACATCATCTGTCACTAGGTTGCCTCCCCCATTCATTAAGGGTCCTACACTTTCCCTGACCCTTTTCTTGTTGCTAACATACCTGTAGAAACCCTTCTTTTTACCCTTCACATACCTTGCTAGCTGCAACTCCAGTTGTGTTTTTGCCTTCCTGATTACACCCCTGCATGCTCGAGCAATATTTTTATACTCTTCCCTAGTCATCTGTCCAAGTTTCCTGTAAGCTTCCTTTTTGTGTTTAAGCTTACTGAAGATTTCACTGTTAAGCCAAGCTGGTTGCCTGCCATATTTGCTATTCTTTCTGCACATCGAGATGGTTTGATCCTGTGCCCTCCATAAGGTTTCTTTAAAATACAGGCAGCTCTCCTGGACTCCTTTCCTTCTCATATTAGCCTCCCAGGGGATCCTGCCCATCAGTCCCTAACAGAGTCAGAGTCTGCTTTTCTGAAGTCCAGGGTCCGTATTTTGCTACTCTCCTTTCTTTCTTTTGTGAGGATACTGAACTCAACCATCTCATGGTCACTGCTGCTTAGGTTGCCACCCACTTCTACTTCCCATACCAATTCTTCCCTGTTTGTAAGCAGTAGGTCAAGAGGAGAACGGCCCCTAGTTGGTGCAATACTGGAGGAACCAGGAAGTTGTCCCCAACACTCTCCAAAAACTTCCTGGATTTTCTGTGCATTGCTGTATTGCTCTCCCAGCAGATATGGGGGACTTCAATCACCCTGTCTAGAACCAGGGCCTGTGTTCCGGAAACTTCAGTTAATTGTCTGAAGAAAGCCTTGTCTACCTCATCCTCCTGGTCCGGTGGTCTATAGCGCACTCCCACCATGACATCACCCTTGTTGCTCTCACTTCTAAACTTAATCCATAGACTCTCAACAGGCTCTTCTCCAGTTTCATACGGAGCTCTGAGCAATCATACTGCTCTCTTATATACAGTGCAACTCTTCCACCTTTCCTTCCCTGCCTGTCCTTCCTCAACAGTTTATACCCATCCATGACAGTGCTCCAGTCATGTGAGCTACCCCACCAAGTCTCTGTTATTCCAGTCATATCATAGTTCTTTGACTGTGCCAGGACTTCCAATTTTTCCTGCTTGTTTCCCAGGCTTCTTACGTTTGTGTACATTCACACTGAGAAAGCAAAGCAATTGGCTAGTTCTCTTAGGTGCATCAGGAGGCCTCCTATGTTGCACCCTCCTCCTTGTGTTTCCTCCCGGTATCCCACTTACCTCTGGGCTTAGGTCACTGTACCCCGGGCAAGCCTGCCTGCTAAGATACTCGTCCCTCTCTCTGTTAGGTGGATCCCCTCTCTTCCTAGCAATCCTTCTTCCCGGAACAACATCCCATGGTCGAAGAATCCAAAGCCCTCTCTCTGACACCACCTGCATAACCATGCATTTACCTCCACAATTCGACAGTCCCTACCTGGGCCTTTTGTTTCAGCAGGGAGGATGGGCGAGAACACGACTTGCACCTCAAACTTCTTCCCACAGCCACATACTCTGCAGTGACCCGCTCAAGGTCATTCCTGGCAGTATCACTGGCGCCCTCGTGGAGATGTAGGAAGGGGTAGTGGTCCGAGGGCTTGATCAGTCTCAGCAGACACTCCGTCACATCCTGAATTCTAGCTGTAGGCAAGCAGCACACTTCTCAAGTCTCTTGGTCTGGTCGGCAGATGGATGACTCCATCCCCCTCTAGGATGGAGTCCCTGACCACAACCACTTGTCTCCTTCTCTTGGGAGTAGTGGTCGTGGAACCGCCATCCCCTAGGACAATGCATCCCATGCCTTCTGGTCGATGGGATCTCCTTAGGGATACCTTCCCTCAGATGTGTCTACCAAATCATTCTCCGCAGTAGTACCTGTGCAGAGAGTCTGAAAATGGTGTCTGACCTCTATCTGCATAGGGGGCATATAGGTTCTCCCTCATGTTATACTGATAAGAAGCACACGGGATCTTTATAGGGGAGAAGGCTGCACGCCACGTTTATTGAGAATACGACTGTTAGCATATGCTTTTCAAGCTCTCTTACACTCACCATGTGCACACAGTTCTGCCAGTCAATGTTTATAATTACCGATCCAGAGTCTGGATCAATCTGGTGGCCAGCCAGATTGGTCGCAGAGGGGAGCAGGGCTCTGTCGGTCGAGATCTGATGCTCCTGGAGCATGGTAAGATGAATCCAATGTCCCATGGCCAAACACCCTGTTCTTATAGTCTTTTGCTCTGTTGAAGTCTATGGATTTTGCTGTGTCAGTTTGTGACCAGTTACTTCTTAATTG